ATTGACCCTAAACCCCCAAACCCCAAACCCCAAGCCGCTGTCATGGAGGCCAAAGAGGCGCAGGACCGGAAGGACCAGGAGCTCCGCCAGGCCGAAAAGGGTCATGGAACCTGTCAAGGAGAGGTGTATGCTAATTGAGGCCAAAAGCAGAAGTATAACTCTAGCATTATGGGGTTTAGGGTTACATAGGGTTTGGCGGTGGTCATAACCCCTTAGCCGCTCCCTGGGAGGCCCTGAGTGTTTTTGCGGTGCACGGAGCCGTCCTTAAAATGAGCGCGACGGAGGTGGGCCTGAGCCTGAAGCAGTTGGAATCGCTGGCGCAGAAGCGGAGATTTCAGAATTGGGAAGAGGTGCAGGAGCGCACGCTTGCTTTGGCCCGTTACCGGGAAGAACACATCAGGGAGGCGGAGCAGGGCAGTCAGGAGCTCGATGCGGTGTCCAGGCAACTGCAGGTGAAGCAGCTGCTCCATCAGAATGCTGATCCGAACGCTCCGGACCGGCGCGGCTACACGGCCCTCATCTACGCCGCATACGAAGGACACCAGGGGGTCATCGAACCCTTGCTGAGTGCGGGAGCGCAGCTGGAGGCCCGTGATGAGGAAGGCAATACAGCCCTCATCTGGGCTGCCGGCAGGGACCACCTGCAGGTGGTCGAGGCACTGCTGAAGGCCAGAGCCCAGATGGACACGGCCCTAGTCTATGCTGCAAAGCAAGGCCACTTGAAGGTGGTCGAGGCCTTGGCGAAGGCTGGAGCCCAGCTGGAGGCCCGAAATGGGGATGGCATCACAGCCCTTATCCAGGCTGCGCGCTGCGGCCACCTGCCGGTGGTCGAGGCGTTTCTCAAAGCTGGAGCCCAGCAGGACGTCACCAACAGCAGCACAGCCCTCATCAAAGCTGCTGAGCGAGGCCACTTAAAGGTGGTCGAAGTGCTGGTGAAGGCCGGCGCCCAGTTGGACGCCCGCAATAGGTATGGCCTCACAGCCCTCATGAAAGCTGCTAGGGAAGGCCACCTGAATGTGGTCGAGGCGTTGCTTAAGGCCGGAGCTCAAGTGGACGCCACCAGTCCGCGTGGCAGAACAGCCCTCATGTATGCTTCAGAGAATGGAAACCTGAAGATGGTCGAGGCTTTGGTTCAGGCAGGAGCCCAGCTGGATCTCGCCGATCGGTACGAAGTCACAGCCATCGTGTATGCTTCAGCGAAAGGTCACTGGGATGTGGTCGAGGCATTGCTGAAGGGGACCCGCGACGTGCCTGGCCTGCGTGCAATCAAGGCATTGAAGGAGGCGGCAAGCAATGAGGACAGCTTGTAAGCATGCACAGCAACAATGGCACCCGCAGGTGGAGCACGCGTGGTCGAAGGCCTGGGCAGCAGAAAAAGTGATGTGCATATTCCGGAGGTTGGAGCGCTGCAAGGCAGCTTCCCAGGGATTCCTGATTACAAGTATAGTAGGGTTTAGGGCTTAGGGTTTAGGGTGTAGGGTGTAGGGTTTAGGGTGTAGGGTGTAGGGTGTAGGGTTTAGGGTTTAGGGAAGTAATTATTATATACCCCCAAAGCCCTATTTCAGTTATTCAGGCCCCCACAATACCTGCAGCCTCTGGGGGACACTCCAGGCCGATCGGGCCCCCAGCAAGGCGGCCCATCCAGCCAACGTAGCCGGGGTAGGGTTTAGGATTTAAGGTTTAGGGTTTAGGGTTTAGGGTTTAGGATTTAAGGTCTTAGGGCTTTAGGATTCGGGTTTCGGCTTTTTGGTCTAGGGTTTGAGGGTTTAGCTTAGTAGCTAAAGGCAGTTAAGGCTAAACAGCACTTGTCCGAGGATCCAGAGACTTAATAGGTAAGTTGATAAGCAAGGAACGGTTTAGGGTTTAGGGTTTAGGTCCACTTCGGTTTAACCCCAACTAGGCTACTTACAATCTTAAATTCCCTGCTCTTACAAGTAACCGAAAATTATGCCGCTTCGGGGCTTCCGCGAAGGAATGACGGGTGGTGTACCTCAGTGCGAATCCTTTATCTGAAGTCGCCATCTTAAACTCCATACAACCAACCCTTGCAAAGCACCTTGAAGGGCCCTTTTAAGAACCCCCACAGTAAGAGTACAAAACGCCCACTTCAGGCGACCGCAGAGGGAGGCTGTCCATGCTGTGCAGGGCCCCGCGCTTCCAAGGCATACGAGTGCTATGAAGGTTTTTGACAAGGTCTCTACAAGTTGTTCTGAGATTTGGAAAAGGTGTTGTCAGGTTTCGGTCGGACCCTAAATCCTAAACCTTAAACCCTAAACCCTAAACCCGAAATAAGGGTGCCATAGATTGTTTTTGTGGGTTTTTTGGAGGATTTACGTTGGGGGTTGGGGCAGGATCAGGGGATCTCAGTTAAGTCGGGTAGTAAGTAGCTGGGTTCTTGTTTAGGGGTTTACTTTAAGTTGCCATAATAAAGAAGCTATATTCTTCACTATAGATCCCTATTATGGTAATTGAAACTAAATCCCTTAACAAGGACCCAGGTAAGGTAACTGTATGCATGTCTACTTGTGACCCGAATGAGGGCACTTACCAACCTTGAGTACTCAGTCCCCGATCCGCTGAGTGGTACAGCTCTCTAGTTTTACGAAGGTTGCCCTAAACCCTAAACCCTAAACTTTACACCCTAAACCCTAAACCTTAAACCCTAAATCGTAAACCCCACTGACCCGGCTGACCCCATCAGATAGGCTCAGGATTTAGGGTTTGGGGTTAAGGCTTCTGGGGTGGGGCGTGTGTGAAGTTTCTTTATGGTCGTGTTTTCCAAGAATATTCAGTGTTTCTCATTCCTCTGGGGTTCATAGATAGGGTTGAGGGTTTCTATTCCTATGGGGTTTCTCAACGTTAGGATTGCTTTTGCGGTCCTTGGTATAGGGCATTGGGGTCACGTGCTTGTTTGGGGATCCAAAAAGGGATCCCACTTCGCTGAACTTACTTACCGGCAGACTGGTAATTGCCATAGGTCCCGTTTTCTCTTAACCGTGTAGTGTGTTCAATGCAGGATCATATGTGGAAGTTTCTGAGAATATGCGGCCCCAAGGCAGACTATTGCTCTTTTTCGCTCGTAACCCTAAACCCACAAAGCCCAGCGCGTGTTTCACTTGCCAGAGGGCAGGCTCTGTGTCAAGATTCGGTCGACTCTTTAGTGAGTTTAGGGTTTAGGGTTACTTCGCTAGCCAAGCTCGGGCGTCTGGCGTGCTATTTTGGTCACAGTTTTAGTAGTTTCCAGGGCCCAGCTCATCCAACCCAGTCCATTTTGCAAGGTACTTGTCAGGTTACATTCTGAAGGCGACTATGATATAGAACCCTTCTTTCAAGCCTTCTAGCTCTCTTAAAAGGAACCTTGTTCTCGTTTTGGAGGCCGTGCAGTTCTCGTCCCAAGGTTTTGCATTGCACTGCTCGTTTAGTTGCGGACGTGCTAGGGGACGTGGGTAAATCCCAGAACCGAAGCGCCCAAGCCGAAACACAGGGCCCTTTATAGGGCTCGGAACAATTACCAATAACGTAAGGTTCCCTATAACCAGACTACAAAAGTGTATACACAAAAGGCATCTATATTATACAAAGCAATCCCTAACGCAACTTGTCAGGTATCTGTATGGGAAAGGAAAGCTCCTACATCGGACTTTCTTGGTGGCCTTATTGTGTACCATGTCCCTTGATTTCAAAGCAAAGTCCCAACCCCTGAGCCCTGAACCCGGAATTCACCGAAACCCGAAACTCCTTCGCCTCTACGCCCTGAAGAGCTCTACCCAGACCCCCAAAAGGATCTAAAAAATAGATCCTCTAAGGGGGTTCCTATAAAGTACCCTTTAGTAGTTCGGGTCCCTAATTAGGGGATCTATTTTTTAGATCCTTTTGGCGGGTCTGGGTAAGCTCCTCAGAGCTCGCAGGTGGGCGCTTTGCGGCAAGCGAAGGCGCGGACCGCTTTGTCGAAGCCTGTGTTGCACTCTCCCAGAGAGTCCAAAACCACTGAAATAGGGTTTAGGGTCTGGGGTTTAGGGAGGAATGCCTTCTTCCCGAAACCCAAAGCCGCTGCCGAGAGCCACTGACCGCTTGCATGGGCGCTCGAGGCTCCGACCGAGGCCCCTGGCCGAGCGTCTCGAGAGGACGGTAAGGGTAAAGCCTCGTGGAAAACGGGGACGGAAATGATTCGTGTACTTGGAGGGTGGTTATAAGTGGAGTTATAAGCCCCCTAACACAATGGGAAAGAAGCGCCACGCTTTTGCTGGGGCCGGGTGCCGATGTCGGGGTACCGCCTTTTCTCCATCCCGGATGATGCAAGGCCGAACTTCGCAGGGTAGATTGAGATATTTACAGTTCGAGCGACCCTCACAGGGCGCGAGGGGCGATGTGTTTGTTGGAAACCCTTGCTTCTCGTGCGGCCGGCACAGGGCGCGAGGACAAACAACCCAACATGCAATCCATCTCAGCTGTGATTTGCTGTGACATGTGGTCGTTTATGTGTCGGCTTGCGAAGGGAAGCAAAAAGCAGACAACCCCCCTTGATGGGGGTTTGGCGGGCGAGCCCTAAGCCCTGATTTAGAATATATGGGCCGCTTGGGGTGGGACTACATGTTGACGCAAGTACGCGATTAGTGGGTGCGCTCCCCTTCCGAAACAATATACTGTATACGCACCTTGAATCCTAAGCCCAAAACCGTCCTAAACATTCTGGGAGGAATCTTAATCTGATGAGGCACTTGCATCATGTAGAGGGGCCCGGAGTGCCTACTGTATATTCCATTGTTGGAGGGTTTTGGGGTGTTGTCTTGGAATGTCGTCGTGCAAGAAGACGACACTGACCCACAAACGCAGAGTCATGCTCGAAATACAAGAAAGTCTGAATGTCAGCACATGAGGCTGGTCCTAAACTTCAATCTCACTTGCACCTTGGTTTCAACACCCATTTTCAGCAGCGTGAGTCTCACATCCTGAACACGAAGTTCCCGCAATCCTTGACTTGACATCTCCCGAGCTGTTAATGCCCAACGGCAGCCGCTGCCGTTCGCCCAGCACCCGTCGTTTGGCGTATCTATCTATTCCATGTAGGATTGTAGGATCGATGATGGTCCCCTTCCTGTTGTTCACCCTTGCGGCTGGACTCCGCCTGAACAACGACCCGGTGCGGCCGTGG